TGAATATGAGGTTATTGAAAATACCATTGCTTGGGTTGGGCGCACCTTAGTCTTCAAGCTCACATCTTTGCTCTTCAACACTTTTAAAAGGTCTTGTGCAGCAGATTTGCCTAATGCAACACATCATTGTCATTGGTTAGGGCCATTTCCCAAGACCCCCATTATTTACTTGGATTCTCTGTGTCAGTGAATAAGCATGCAATGTATCATCATAGAAAGTTAAAGGGACCCATTGTCAAACCCTTGTCAGTCATGACTCTTTTATAGTCTGGAACCATAGGTACATTTTCTGCATTGATTAGTTGCCCTTGTGGTGTTACACTAAGCAATAGAGTCTTTCATCGTTATTCTAGGAGCAACAGTAGGATTAAGGCATCACAGATGTGCATGAAATGCTTGCAGCCAATCCTGGTTGATGCTGTATTTTAGTTTTGTCAGTTATGTACTACGAAGTGTGTCAAGCATATCTTTGTTCTTTGAAAAAAGTCTTTTGTTTCTCCTTTGTATCTCAGGTATATTTGCCTTGTATTCAAAGTTTGGCATTTTCCATCGCATCGAGTGCTGCAAGAGATTCCTCAGAACAGGAGGGGAAGTGTCCATGATGGAAGGATATTACAAGAACCCTAAGGAGATCTGTATCTTTTAGCCACAATTATAGTTATGTTCATAGGGAATACTGTAGTCCTTTAAGGGGTCTTTGTTGTTCTCTACCAGCTGACACATGCAGTAATGATCGAGTGTTTTGGACCTCTTCCACATTCAATATTGTTGCTTTGGACACTCTTCAAGTTATAAACTTTTGAGTTTGGTTGTCCAGTGTATATATACATAGCATATTTCTTCAAAAGTCTGAGTGTCTAGTAAAGTGCTGGTATCGATGCTGATGTCCACATAAACATTCCTTGGAAATTCTGAACAAAATGAGTGAAAACTCACTACTGTCTCACTCATTGAACTGAGGTCCTGCACATTCCTTCAAAACACAAAACTAGTGAGGGCTAACCTTTGTTTTTGTGTGTTTTCCCACTAACAAAAATCTAGTGAGATTTGAGAGCCTTTTTTTTCTCAGGGACAGTAGAATTATTTTCATAGACAGACAACACAACTAGCAGATTCCGTACTTCATTGGGTACTGCTGATGAATGCAAGTTTACCAAGATGTGTGCATTTTCATCAGATGATTGTGAGCTTGGAATACTGCCTATACTGGCCCTGTTTACCTTGGTGAACCTGATTCCTGATAGTTGATATCATTTACATATTTGAGGAGATACGGGAGTATTTTGGCATGGCGATTTCATAATGTCTCGGAGTCTGTTATCTTTATTTTGTTGCATCATGGTTTGATAGCAGACTTTTTGTTCAGTGGTGATTGGAAAAATGAGTCAGATTTTAGATAGCAGGTTTGAATACTCACTTATTGGACTTTGACTAATTGACAGAGAACTTCCAGAGGTTCAAGCCAGATTCAGAAGAGGATATGGAATGTGGGATATCATTGCTGATGTCCAATGGATCTTGAATGAAAACAGAGAATACCAGAAAGATGTTTACCTGTGTTTTATTGCCTTCGCAAAGGCTTTTGATTGTGTGGATCATGACAAGTTATGGACAACATTGTGAAGTATGAGTTCTCCGGAATACTTAATTGTGCTCATGAGGAATCTGTACATGGACCAAGAGGCAGTTGTTTGAACAGAACATGGGAACACTGAATGGTTTAAAATTAAGAAAGGTGTGCGACAAGGTTGTATTCTTTCACCATATTTATTCAAACTGTATGCTGAGCAAATAATACGAGAAGCTGGGTTCTGTGAAGAAAAACGTGACATCAGGATTGGAGGAAGATTCATTAACAACCTGCGATATGCAGGTTATACAACCTTGCTTGCTGAAAGTGAAGAGGACTGAAAATAATTACTTATGAAGATCAAAGAGCACAGCCTTAGATATGGATTGCATCTCAATGTAAAGAAAACAAAAATCCTCACCATTGGACCAATAAACATCATTCTTATCAACAGAGAAAAGATTGAAGTTGTCAAGGGCTTCATTCTTCTTGGATCAACTATAAACATTCATGGAAGCAGCAGTCAAGAAATCAAATGACATATTACATTAGTCAAATCTGCTGCACAAGACCTTTTTAAAGTTTTGAAGAGCAAAGATGTCAGCTTGAGGACTAAGGTGCGCCTGACCCAAGCCATGGTATTTTCAATAACCTCATATGCATGCAAAAGCTGGACAGTGAATAAGGAAGACCATAGAAAAATTGATGCTTTTGAGTTATTGTGTTGGAGGAGAATATTGAAAGTGTCGTGGACTGCCCATAGAACCAACAGATCTTTGTTGGAAGAAGTGCAACCAGAGTGGTCCTTGGAAGCCAGGATGGCCAAACTTCGTCTCTCATACTTTGGACATATTGTCAGGAGGGACCTATTACTGGAGAGGAATATCATGTTTCATAAGATGGAGGGTCAGAGAAGAAGAGGAAGACTCCCAGGGAGATGGATTGGCAACGTAGTAGCATCAATGGGCTCAAGTGTGGCAACAATTGTGAGGTTGGCCCAGGACCAGGCAGTGTTTCATTCTGTTGTGCATAGGGTTGCCATGAGTCAGTACCAACTTGATGGCACCTAACAACAACAACTAATGTATTCTAGAAAATTCCTGTATCTTTGTCACCATAGCCATTTAAACTGAGAAACTATAGCTTATGACATTAATGTAGATCCTTTTGTAAATGATGAGACTATTTTTCCCCTTTGGTGGGTTTGTTATCTTTTGATGAAAATCAGTAGGTAACACAAGGATTGGCTACTGGCTTAGGAAAAGAAATATCTGGTGGTCGTTGTTAATGCAACTTTCAAAGACACCTATTATTTACTTGGATTCACTGTATCAGCAAGTAAATATGCAATATCTTATCAGAGAAGGTTGGAGGAATCCATTGGCACAATCATTCATGACTGGTTGAGAATCAGGAACCCTTGGTACATTTCCTGATGAGATATAACCCTTGTAGTGTTAATTTGAGCAGTAGAGTCTTACATCATGATTCTAGGAGCAACAGATGGACTAAAGCATCATAAATACAGTTGAAATACATGAAGCCGTACCTAGATAAATACAGTTGAAATACATGAAGCCGTACCTAGTTGATGTTGTTTTTTAGTTTTGTCAATTGTGTACTGTGAAGTGTCTCAAGTATTTCTTTGTTGTTCTTTAAATCTCAGGCTGACCTTGGATCCAAAGCCACAAGGTTGACGTTTTCATTCTCACCCAGATCTGCAAGAGATTCCTTGAAACTGGGCCGCAGTATCCTTAAAGTAAGATTATCCCCAGAACACTATGGAGGTCTGTATCTTTTAGGTACATTATGATCATTTTCATGGGGACTGCTGTAATCCTTGAAGGCCTGTTTGTTGTTCTCTATGACCTGACACATATAGTAACAGCACTTAAGTGTATTGGACATATTCTATGTGCAAGGTTGTACCTTTGTATGCTCCGTAAGTAACATACTAATGAGACTTTCACTGTCCAGTCAGGCAACCTATGTGTTCACGAGGCTAAGTATTGAGAATTTATCTGGATCAGTGATGATGTGCACAGCAGCAGTGATGATGTCCTTGGAAAAGCTGAACAATATTAGTGAAAATTCATCACCATTTCACTCATGGAACTGATGTCCTGTGCAATAATTCAAACAGGAAACAAGTGAGCGCCAACCATTCTGTGTATTCCCTCTAATGCGAATGTAGTGAACTCTTGAAAGCCTCTAGTCCCAAGGACAGTGGAAAAGTATTCTTAGGCAGATATCTCAGACTAGCAGGCTCTATAGAATGTTGGTCATTACTACTGATTGCAAATTCAAAGACAGCTTTGTATATATAGGATAGCTGCTGGTACGCTTGGCATAGGAATAGTAGTGCCTCTTATGACACTTCATTGGCTTGCTGATCATGAAGTCTGCAGTTGACAGGATGTGTTTACATGACTGGAGTGACAGTGCATCATTTGGCATACTGATCTACACAGTCACTCAGTCATATTTAGGGGATTTGGTTTGTAGCAGAATTTTTTTTCAGTAGTGTTAGGATAGAATGAGTCCGACATAGGGATGGTAGGTATGACATACTCAGTTCAAGATGTTTCATTGTGTCTTCTTTTGTTTTCTAGAAGTTTCCTCTTGGTTAGTCATTAAAACAGAGCGAATATAGCTTGTGACATGAATGCTTGTTTTTAATTCATAGTGAGCCTGCTTAGTTTCCCTTTTTTGTTCCTTGATAGCTTTCCATGTATTTCATTGGATAACACAGAGATTGGCTACTGGTGTAGGATATGTAACATCGGATGACCATTGTTTGGGCAATTTTGAAAGACACCCATCATTTCACTTGAATTCTCTGGATCAGTGAATAGGCAAACAATATGTCATCAGGGATAGTTGAAGGGATCTATTGGCATTCCATTGTCAGCCAGGACAATGTTGGAACCATATGTACATTTCCTGCATTAACTAGGTGGCCTTGTAGTGTTCAGTTGAACAGTAGAGTTGATCATCATGATATTGGGTGGAAGAGCAGGATTAACACATGAAATGTATGCATCCCATCCTGCTTGCTGGTATAATTAATATTGTCAGTTGTATGCTCTGAAGAGTCTTAAGTTTTTCATTGTTAGTTCTTTGTATCACAGGTAGATATGCCTGGATCTAATGCAACATATTTAACCTTTTCCACCACACTCCAAGCTACAAAAGATTACTCAAAACTGGAATGTGGGTGTCTGGGACATCCCCAGAACAGTAAAGGGGTCAGTATCTTTTTGCCACAATTTTGGGTATGTTCACTGTGAATGCTGCAGTCCTTGATTGGATCTTTCTTGTGTTCTATAAAGTAACATTCCATGCTCAAATGTTGTTGCTTTGAATGCTCTTCGAGTTATAAATTGTTGAGACTTTGGCATTGTAGTCGCACAGCATAGCATATTGGTTCACAAGGCTAAGTGTCTAGTCATGTGTCAGGATCGATGATGATATCCACATAAACATTCCTTGGAAAGCTGAACAAAATGAGTGAAAACTCACTACCGTCTCACTCATCGAACTGAGGTCCTGCACGTTCCTTCAAATTAGAAAAAGTGAGGGTCGACCTTGATTTGTATATTTTCCTAGTCATTCAATGCAGTGAGCTTTTGAAAGTCTCTAGTTGCACGAATTAGTGCAATTGTTTTCTTAGTCTGACAACATAAGTAACAGTTTCCTTAGATCATTGGGCATCACCATTGAGTATAAATTTCCCAGGATTTGTGCATTTTCATGTCGTATGTGATTATGGGCTTGGCAAAGGAACAGTACTGCCTATTAAGGCCCTGTTAGTCTTTGTGAACCTGATGGCTAATAGATGACATCATTTATTTACATGATATGATAGAGTGAATATTCTGACATGTTGGTCTCATTAAATTACAGAATTCGTTGTTTGTTTTTTGGGTAAGGGTTGGTAGCAAACTTTTTGTTCTATGGTTATAGGAAAAATGAATCTGACTTTAGATTGTAGGTATTACATACTCACTTTAGGATTTTGACTGTATCTTCTCAGGTATTCTAGAAATTTCCCCACATTTTATCACCATAGTCTC